ATTGCACCGACCGTATTTTTAGCAATGCAATCGTTCACTAAGCCTTTTACAATTAAGAGCGAAATTAGTCTATATGACGGTCGAGTAAGTGTTAAACAGCAGCCGAGCTAACGTGAATCCCTAATTCTTCGATTACATTTGCTAAGGAGCCTGCTCCGCATCGCCGATGCGGGAATGTAGTTAACACGCGTTTGTTATGCGTGTGCGATCGCGAAAATTGTATTAATTATTGTGGACTGAGGTTCAGTGAAACCGGCGCGCGACGAAATTTTCCGGGCTCCTTCGTTGCATGCGGGAACCTGGAATGATGATGAACGCGTGGCGTTCGGCGGAATAAAATCCCAAAAGTGTCGGTGCTCTTCTCGATACTCGTAACCCAAAGCACAAACATTAACCTCCGGACATTTCGTTAAAATCAGCGAAGATGATCAGCGTCGAGAAATTAAAAGTGCTTGACTAAATGAATACTTTCACTTAAAAGGAGTACTCGATATCGAGAAGTTGCGCCAATCGATAATTGAAGCGGCGATTAGATCCTCGAGCAAGCAATTTACGTCGATCGTCAATAATGGAGAAACTCAGATTGAAACTGTCATGTGTCGAATCGAAAAAGAAAATAACAATGTCATCAGACTCTGCGCCAATTGATGATCAGAGCAGTGATTAATCCTCGAATGATCGCGTGTAAAGTTGCGTACGACGATACGTACATACTTTTACGATCGATACTCGATCGAGATTGAATATTTGAGAGTAGGGCGCGTTGCTACACGCCGCAAATGATGACGCAGCCGTGAGATCTCCGCACAAGACAGAAGAAATAACAAATTACGCGCTCTACGTTCCCTAGCGACCGATCGGACTATAATCCGGGAATGACTGAAAATCGTCAGAAACGGTAAATCGTAGGACACGTTAGCCGAGCGTGTAACGTTCTACCTTTGTACACCCTAGTTAGAAAATATTCTTCCATGTTATACGACGTGATCTACGGCAAATGGATACACGTTAAAATGCGTGTTGAATCGTACAAACCTCCCGTAGAGGCGGAAGATCTCTCTAATAATCCCCCAAATTGTAATCCAGGCTGCGACTGAGAACTCGAAGGGACAGTTTAGCTCTCTAACCGATCGTGCGCACCGACGTAAATTTACGTTCTCTTCCGGCAAACGTCACGTTCCGTATCCTTCGTCCCCTTCCCTCGTATCCATCGCAGTCTAGATTATAATCTAAGAGAGAGACACGGAGAACTGCCAATTACAATTATATTATATATTCTAATAAAAATCGTCGATACAATCGACTGTCGCTCGTCGCGCAAACTTCCCGCAAATTGGCACAAGGCTTGGATCAGAGGTGGGCAACCTCATCGAGCTGGGCAACCCTTTCGAAGCTGTCTCGCACGCGACTCACGCCACCGTTCGGTGCGATCGAAGAATACGATCAATTTAATCATCGACTCGATCGGTTGTCCCGAGCGCATAATTCGAAATCTTCTATTTTCAAAACATTCCTCCCCCCCCCCCGCGCCCCGAGAAGCGGTGCCGCCGAGAGTATGCGGTTAATTGTATATCGCGCGTGCTGAGTCTAGACGTGAGAAATTCCTAATATAGATTATTACTCCAAATATTTTGTGTATTTCACACGAGACACCTTTTTATATTATCCTAACGAGAAAGGCCGCGCGTTGCCCACCCTTGGATCGTTCGCGACGATAAAAAAAGCCGTAAAAGGAATTGGCTTTCAAATCACGGAGAGGACAGCGGCATTACGCCGTCGGAATGAAATCGCGAGGTAGTAGTATACATGTACAGGATGGTCCGAAACGACCGTCCGCTGTTATCTTTCCGAGAACGGTTGATTGAAGGGCAAGACCAAGACGAAACGAAAAGATGATGCACCGAATCGGCACAACACAATCCAACTGAAATATTTCTTATCCTGCGCTCTCTTGTACACACTGGGAGGGTTTGGGAAGGAATAATGCCGGTTTCTCCGAAACTTCAAATGGAAAAATTACTTTTTGAAGTTGGATTCGGGAAATGCTGGTAGAGCAAATCCAACGTTACTCTCTCGGATAAGTTTCTTGATAGAAGAAAATTTTACGAAAAAATTTCGAGAGTTGGAGGATTCTCAAATATGAAAATCTCGCACTCTGAGAAAAATTCAAAAAGGATAATGATATATTTTTACAGGATGGGACGAATTTTTCAACGACTCGTCATGCACTGACCCGCACTATTCTATCGTTTTCGAAAACGAAATTACAACGGACGGTCGTTCCGTAACATTTCCTATCCGTTCGATCTCTCGGAAAAAGTGAAAGGTCACCGAGTCGTCGATCTACACCGAGAAGTATCACACGCAATAACGACGAATATCTCGAAATTTATAGCCGCTTGAGCGAACGGGAATACTCGGGAATATTAAAGGGACCTCGGTAATTATTACGAGATTGATTGTGACAGTGATATGCTCCGTCTAATTTGTAAAATTACTCGCGAACACGTTCGCAGACTCTCTTTATCTCTCTTTACCACTGCCTATCTCCTCCCTCTCTACTCGCGCTAGCGCGTCTCTTTGAACTTTCGATAGGGAATATTTGTTTCCTCGCACATTTGGACACACTTTGTAGTATATCAAAAGAATCTACAAGTGAACACAAGATTCCGAAATAACTCTCCCGACCTCGCAACGAACGCTCAACGCGCGTTTAACCTCGCGTCAATGAAAACACCGGCGGACTCGAGTGACTCCCGACGCGCACGTTTCATCTGTTCCTTCACGCGATTTCCATGGCGCGATAAAGAATTGGCGAATACGAGAATCTGCCGCTCCCGTGCGAAAAGTGTGTTATTCGAATTAAGTTGCGGCTGCACATCGAGTAAGATTTATCATATCGGAGGAGAAGCTCTCGCGTCGATAGTGCACAAATCAACCATGCGGGTCGAGAAACACTCTTTCCTCCTTCCCCCTCCCTCCGCCCCGGTTTCTCTGTTTCTACTTTACGTCTACGGTCAACAGTATCACATATGCCGAAAGATACCAGAACGCGTAAATCATAAGCTATACTTTCCGGGGGCGTAAAGTGCACACATGGTCTGTACGGATCACCCGGTGATTATAGTCGAGTCGACTTTTAACGACAGCCATAATTAGCCAAGAGTAACGGGTTCAATATTTACAATGGATTGGTCGCGACATCGTCACTGTCGAGCGGCGCAGGTGTAAGGACAACGGTGCGAAGATCCGCGCAAGGACGTGCACGTCGCCCTTTTCTTACTACTCTTTCTCTCTCTCTCTCTCTCTCTCTCTTTCTCTCTCTCTCTCTCTCTAAATATATATTTATCTCTTTCTCCTTCCCAATTTCTCGCATAAATATGAAACTAGCGCATCGATCCATGCAGTTTACCACCGGGTGTCTCGCTTGTTATCCTCGTATGTTATCCTCGGGACGCTCATGTCCTCACGTCGAGCCGCGTGGTCGAGCCTTAAAGTGCACCGCTCGCTCTTGTCGGGGATGCGAGCGCGAGCATCTGGGGTTTTGCTCAACATCGCCTTCTCGAGAAGCGATCGTATGCGAGTACCGTGTTTCGTTTGGATCGGGAAACGTGTGGTCCGCACGCCATGATTTGTCGTCGCGTCGAGGCCGGAAGGATCGTGACGTCGGGCGCGCGTCCCGCACGACCGGAACATCCAGTTATTTCCGCGCGCGGGTGCAGAGATGCGTCCGAGAATTTCGCGGTTTCTTTTTACTTCTTCTCTTTTATTCTGATTACGCGTTTCGATAAAATTCAGCAACGTTGCCGGCAAGAAAACCACTCGTATACACGAAGAATGAGATTTCTTGATACCTTTCGTAAACGTAAGGTTCAAAATAGAGCGACCGTAGTATGTATGTTTATATAATATGTATATAATATATGTGTATATAAATTTCTCTTTCACACAAGGACCCGCCTCTTTGTCAACGGAATCCCGATTCTCTCTCTTTCGCTCTTTTCCTCTCTCTCTCTCTCTCTCTCTCTCTCTCTCTCTCTCTCTCTCTCTCTCTCTCTCTCTCTCTCTCTCTCTCTCTCTCTCTCTCTCTCTCTCTCTCTCTCTCGTGTTATTTTATATAGATATAAATATTGAATAAAAATATAGAGGCGGGTGACCGTTGTTTCGGAATATATCAAATATAATTGATATGTGTAGCCTCTGTGTAAGATTCGTATCTCGCTTGCCAAACACAGAAAACACTCGTAGCTTTTGCAGTTAAAAGTAGCGTTCTTACAGTTAAGACCGAACGAGTCGTAAGGAAGTATTCAGCGTCAACGAACATCCATACAGTACGGGTAGTATCATATAAATAAATAAGACTCTGTAAAACAGTAAAAGATTTAATATAAAAATAAAATATTTAATATAGAGACATAATAGAGCATAGTAACAGGATAAAAAATATAGTAGAATAATATAAAAAATAAAACACTGTAAACTCGTAAGGTAATGAGAGATTATCTATCGTTAAATATATAATTACCTATCGGTGGGTATATATAACGGCATGTGTTAGAAAAAGACAGCTGCGAACGCGGAAGAATCGATTTTCGGTCGCTTGACAAGCGAGCTGCTTTGATGCTCGTATAACGATAATCGGAACAAACGGAAAACAGCGATATCTTTACTCTACTGATTGTCAAGATACAATCTTCAATCGACTCCCACGCTTCTCATTTGTCGTCTTAAAGGTACGTCATTGGAACTATTTGAGTTACATGCTTGCATGCCTCGCGTAGTAATACTGGCTCGATTGAGCTGTGCTAAACGAAACTCAGTGACGGTGACTTTGGTGCCCTTCGTCGACGATCGTCACGTCGATATTAACACACTGCAGTCTCCGTCCCGTAAAAAAGCTCAGATCGTCCATGACAATACGCGCAATTTATTGAACAGATAATAATATCCCAGCCCACATTTTCGAGGTCCGAATTGTCTTCTGTTTCTTTTCTCCTATCTATTTTTTTTTTCTTTTTTCTTTTTCGTACGAGAGAATGATGCACGTGACACACACAAGATAATGATATGCGGAATGCACAAGGAAAGAAATACGTTATCACGAAAAAAAAAATTCTCTTCTCTTCTTCTACTCTTGTTACTGATTATTTCATCAACATCGTTTTTAATTCAAAGGAATTCTCGCGTGGTCTGAAGTTGCACAGGTAAAAATTACGGGAGAAAACAATTGCAGATCCTTAGCGACATTTCGCAACAAAATAGCAAGTTTATCTTCAATCTTATGTCCAGCCACGCGCACATCCACTTCTACCCTTAGTCTATGTATTCACTTTATCGTCGCAAAATGTCTATGAGAGCTTCTCGGAAGCAAGAGCAATAATGGTAATGAAACAACCGAAGGACAGCGGAGAGCAATTTCAGCAACTTAGAGAAGATTCGCCCGGAACGTAATCTCAATTTCGCTGCACTTACCGCGATCGTACGTTGTCCGAAACGAACTTGCGACCAAGTTCCTTCCCGCGGAAGAGGCTGAGAGGCCGATTCTTTGCGACGACGAGATCCCCGTTGACCTTATTTGTCTAGGAGCTTATACCTCGCGAAAACGCGTCAGACGCAAAAACGACAAAAGAAGCGAACGTCGAAAATCGACGCGTCACAAGCCGACAGCGTAACTCAAGTGGACAGAAAGAGTGGACGGGGCTGTAAACACGGCGAGTCGCGTTCGCGATCGAATAATCGGCCGCGCGCGCAACGGATACTTACTACTTTTCGATCTTGGATCTTCCTTATCGTCTTATCTTCTCGCTCGTCGCGGTTTTAACTTGCCGCTTGGTTCCCACTCTCTCCGTTCGTTTGTTCGCTCAAGACGACGAAACGAGTTCATTTCATAGACGCTTGACTGACCGACGGCGGCAAACCGATTATGGTCGAGCTGCTTAGCCTGGATGTTCTGGGCTCGATGTCCAAAGACATGCGATACAGATCCTTCTCGTTCAGCAGAAGCGACGTGTCCAGCAGGTAGTTGCTCACCTTCGTGATCAGTTCGATCTTGTAGGGCGTCTGCTGGAAGTGTCGTATCTCGCGGATCACATGGGCGATCTGCAGCGGAGAAACGGCACGAGTCAGTCGGCACGAACGAGAAAACTTTCAAGAGCGAAATTAATGAGGGTAACGCGAGAAATTCACCATTCGCATCTTGGAGAAATTCAGAAGACCGTCCTCGGTGAAGTTTGGAGTGCCCTCCTCGATGAACGAGAGATCGGTGAGGTAGAGACCCAAGTAAGGGATGCAGGGTGGGTCGCAACGGTGCAGGGCGTCCCGCAAATTTCTGAAGCGTCCGTCGGATGAGACGATGTGCTGCAGTCTCTCTATCGTCTGCTTCGTCTGAAAGTTCGACAAGAACGTACGATAGAATCGCGCACGATGGTCCTTCGTTTCGACATAACGCGGAATTACATGGAATTCGTGTTCGATCGTGTACATTCGTGGTAATTCCCATGAAAAGTTCCAAGACAATATCCTTGCAGTCGCAACTTAATATTTCCTGGTCCTTCCCAACGACTTTTCGTTCATCGAGGAGAACGAAAGGAATCAAGTCGGCTCTGAATTTTCCGTGAAAAGATCGAGTCCCGGGACTCGACTGTTGGCTCACCGTCTTGGAGACCTTCTCCCAGGTTTTCTTCAGCCTATACACGCTGCTGTTGGTGAACGCCGCGCAAATTTGCAGCACGCCGTTATAATTGTGCAGCACTCGGCTGATATCGGCGACCGCGGTCCACTTCTCGATGGCCGCCACCCTGGCCGACATGTTGGACCGACGGATAATCTCGGAGACCACCAGCTGCGACACCTCGTTGAATCTCTTCGTCATGAGGAGGATGTGGCGCGCGCGTGTGCTCTTATCCGTCTTCATCCACGCTTGGCCGAGGAATTCCCTGCGAAGCGAGTTCTCGTGTGCATCAAGACTGCATGACGATGGAAAGCGGCGGGTCGTTACTTACTCGCTGGCGATGGACACGAATATCTGATGGTCCAGGTACGTCATTTGCTCCGCGATCTCGAGCGCGGACAGCGTCTCGATGCTCTCCTTGCTCTGAACCTGAATGGAATTCGTGGTCGAGCGTTAGTCGATTTAGAAAAATCTCAAATATCTCGCGGAATGAATCAGACACTGGAGACAGCTGCGGGAAGCTGTCTCCAGTGCTGAGACGTCCAAGAGTTTCTTGAATTTCGCTTACCGTCGGCGGCGCCAGCAATTTGTCCAAGTCAATCTTGCTGCTCTCGAGCTCTTCCTTGGTGATCAGCCTGAGTAGCTGGCTGGCCGCCTTGTGTTCAACCGACAGCAGGTTCGGACTGTAAATGATATCTTCCAGGAACTCGATCGTCAGGTTCTTCAGCTTCTGATCAAGCTCGAAGTCCTGCGGATGCTTGGACACCCAGTGCCGCAGGACGTTGAGCACCCTCATAGTGGCGGCGGTCGACATCACCGATTCCTTCCGTCTGTTCTTGTCGCGGCAGGAACCGCTGCGGTTGTTGCCGTCGTTCGCGGTGCTGGGCCCCTTGTCAGGCGGATTGCTCGAGGCGGAAGTCGCGATTGCGAACGCGGCCGCGGCCGTGGACGTGCTGCTCCTGCATTCGGAAGGAGGACTGCCTTTAGTCGGAGATATCGAGAGGGCAGTCGCGCTTTCGTGAGCAAAAATCGGAATCTCGGTGGCTCGAGAGAGTTGTACTTTCGTCTCGGTGGTCACCATACGTGTCTCGCTCTACGCTCTACGTTGCATCGCCCCTAACAATCTCTCTGAGCCGCGAGCGGCTCAAGCAGGTTACGTCTAAATGTGCATCTCGATTTGCTAAAGTTCTAGAACATCGGCAGTCAGCGGTGTAGATGTACCTTCTATTTGCTATTCTCACTATCGTGTTCGCTACGAAGTATACAAGTATGTGTATTTGGTACGAGGATTGAAACTGACATAATTCCGACGAGAGTTCGATCTCGACGCCGCCGAAACGACGATGCGCGTCCGACCAACGACGAATCGTCGCTCCTTTCGCAGTTGACGAGCGCAAGATGGATCGCGCGCGGGGGATCGATGCTCGAACTCGCTTCGTGAATTATACCGGCCGCAAGCCTGCTCTCTTGGAATATCCAGCACTAGTAAAGCACGCATGTCAAGTGACACAGAGGCGGCTCTATCGGGTAAAAACTATTTCTATTTCGTTTGGTCCATTCACTCTTCTTCGATATGGTGCATTCTATCAGATGGCCAAGAGTAGAAGGACCGAATGAGAGATGTCGTGTGAGAGTGAACGAAATCGATCGATCAAAAGGCCAGAGCAGAGGGGAGACAAACGTTGCGTGTGAGGATCGCGAAGATGAACGTTGTGACTGACAATTGAAGTTTATAGACGAACAATAGAGAGTAGATTTTGTAGTACACAGAGAGCACAGGACGTAGTAGGACACATATGAAGGTGTTGCAGCCTAACGATAATTGCAAGCAAAGGAGCGGGGCTTTCGTTGCCATGCCGCAAGCAACAAGTGGATAATGATGTCTTCAAAATGAGCCCACTTACCAGATAGGTTCAGGTCCAATGCTATGAATGACACAAAACAATACATGAAATACAGTTGAGTAGAAACGGCAGCGGAAGTATCTTCCTGATTAGAGGGACCACTTCAGTCTCGAAAATGGCGACAAATATATATATATATATATATATATAATATATATGTATATAGAAATATGTATAATTAGTCGGACGAAATGGAGCAAAGAAAAAAATTACGAATCGGGCGGCGACTTTTCGCATCTCGAGATTGTTGCGAGACCGCTTTATCATCATGTCGTAAATTTGTGAGATGCGAGACAAATAAGAATATAGAAAAGAATAAGTAAGAATATTTACAAGTTACTTATTCGGAGAAAAAGGACACATATATATATATATATATATAAATATATATATATTGCCGGTAAAAGAAATGCTCTAAATTACGACTCTCAGATGGTTTCAGACGAGAGAGACAGAGATGTAGTTTAAACTTATTTACAACATATTTACAATTCTCTCGATACACGTATGCAAATCAATACGATGCTCGACTACGAAGGCTACGTAAAAACTCTCGCGTCAGACTGGATCTTGCAGAAACAAATTCATTTTTGCAGAGCGAGGAATTTGCACTTGACATATAACACACGTATATCGCTACGAAGGCGAACGGGAGAATTAATCTTCATCAATTGTCTTCGTTAATTGTCTCATGAGCTATGTACGAAAGATGTCGAAAGATACTCCGCGCGACATTGTTACTTTTCCCATTCTCTTTCTCCCTGAAACCCCCGCCCCTCTATCAATTCCTCTCTCTCTAAAAGTAAGTCAGTAAGTAATTACGAGTCGGAGAAAAAAAAATGAAACATGATATCGAGAAGAAGCTCTCATGCGTTAGTAAGCAGAAATCGCCGTTCACGGCACTTCAACATTCAGCGACGATACCGAGGAACGAAATAGAGATAATTTTTATCGATACACGAACACGTCTCCAAGTCCGAGAGGCACGATTATGTAACGCGGTGAGGGACCGCGCGTAGAGGACCGAAATCGTCGAGACGTACCTTCGGTGACTCTGGCGGAAGCTCGTGATCACCACGCCCGCTTTGCTGGTGACCTGTTGAGCGTCATGCTGATAGTTGCTCTGCTGCGACGAAATCTCCTCCTGCATCGAGCGTCGACTCGCCCAGTAATTCTGCAAAGACAATCGCGACGATTACGAGCGTGAATACCGCGTGCGGTCGCGCGTCGCCTCGTGCCGGATTCGCTTTATCTCGCGCGAAATACCGCGCGAACGAGCGCGGCGAGATTGTTCGATTTCGCTTCTCGTAAATGCCTCCCGCGAATGGAGCTGTCGACGATCTCTCTCTTTCTCTCTCTCTCTCTCTCTCTCTCGTTTTATTATCACACATACTCCGGTTATGGTGGAGATTGAGCCTCTCCTTGTGGTGCACGGCGGAGCGGAGGCGACAGATGCCCTGTGCTCCGGATATTGTTGTTGACTCGTTTGTGCCGGTTGACTGGCTTGCTGAAGGGACGATTCGCTACCCTCCTCATCCATCGGGGTGGTTTGCCCCTCTTTTTTCGTCTCGGCTCCTCCGCTCGCCGGAGAGGTCGGAGTTTTCGTGGGAGTGTCTGGCTTATCGATCGATTGCGTCGGGGTGTCGTACGTGAATTGTACCTCTGCAACATTTATTTCGTACGCGACGCGTCAGCTTACATTCCCTCCCTTCCTCCCCTTCGTTCCCTTCGTTTGTCCTCCTCCTCGCCTCGGAGGAGAAGGATTTATCGCGCAGCTGAATAATTCGTCAAATTGAAATTTATACCTCTCGAGCTATCCTCCGTCCCCACGGGCGTGTCCGTCTCCTCTGAGATACCGCGGGAGTAGCTACCAGCTTCCTGAGGACTCGGGTCCGATCCAGATCCGGATCCGGATCCCGTTGAGCCGACTAGCGTCACGGAGCTCAAGTTGCTCGGCGAGGATGGCGCGCTGATTACTGTAATATCTTGTTTACCAAATCGCTCATATATTGGCGACACCGAGGTCCCGCGGGTGTAACAAGAGCGTGAAATTTTGAAATTTGAAAAATTTCACAAATTTCTTTCCCTCCTTATATATTCTCTTACCATGTGTAATTTCTATACAGTTTTATTATTTTATTTTAACATACTTATTACTTTTACTTTCATACGTCAATTACGTATCGTATTGTCGTATTATCGAATTTTCATTTCGCAAAACGTAGAAATTACGGCTGGTTAAGAGAAGGATCTCCCGTCTCCCCCGCGTTTTCCTCTCGCTCAGTTTTACGGGACACCGCAAACACGGATATCGATTCTCGGTAATACCTGTGAGCGTCTCGGAGCTGGACGACACGGCGATCACTTTCGGTATCGTCAGGTGACACCCGTCGTTCTCGGAGTCCTTGTTCACGCGAATACTGATCTTGCGCGGCGTGATCGGGGATTGCGACGCGGTGGATGGACTCGACGTCTGCGACGTAGGGCTACGTTTGATGATCGGAGTCTCGGAGATCAGACCGAGCGACTGTTCCTCCTCCACTAAACGCGACAGATATTCTTCTCTAAATCGCTCCTCCCGGTCGAAAACGTTGCGGCAGGCACTATCGCGTATGTGTAGCAGCCGCGAGAAATCTCACCGTTCGACCACGCGCGCCGAGTATCCGACAGATTTACGTCGCAAATTTTACTTCATCGGTAATACTACGAAGCGCGATATTCTCGAGAAGTACTCACGCTTCCTGTAACCGGATCGCCAATGACCCTTCGAATTCAGCCCACCCACATTGGTGTCGAAGGATCCGTGGAGCCTAGTTTCGCGGCAGTCGCTCACTTCCGACCCGTAACCTGCGTGCGCAAAACGCGCGACAAACGAGTGTTAGTGGAGGACCGGTGATTAATCACGACGTAGTCGTTAACTCCTGGTGCACCATCGCGTTAATTAGATTGAGGAATTCGTTCGTTCTATGAAAAAAAAAAAAAGAAGCGAGTGAGTAAGTAGTTTCTCTTTGTTTTTGGGAAAATCTCTGAGGGAGAATAAAAGTCACGATCTTGAATATATCGATCTTGACAAACAGTTAAAATTGCTCAAGAGAAAAATTCAAATTGGATCCGGTGATATCCGATGATGGAGGCCCGAAGGTTAACGTAATTCCGACTCTCATCGTCTCGGAACTCCGATTCACCTGACACCGAGCTCGCGCCGCTGGTTCGTCTCGGTGAAAAGCTGCTTCTCCTTCGGTCTTCTGATTGCAACTGGGACTCGCCCGCGGAAGCTCCTAGCACGTCTAGAGACCTAAAATGGAGATGTAAGAAACCTCGCGATTTTTCTCAAAGACAACGTGAAAAATTTTTCATTTCTTTCCTCTATAAGATGAGTTCTTTTATAAGCTGAAAGCACACGATAAATTATTTCGATCTTTTACATAAAAAGAACCAGTCCAAAGTATCAAAAAACTTACTGCCCTTCTTAGTAAAACTTTCACAAGTACATACTTTAAGGATACATCGCACGGTCTCTACGTGGACATTGAATAGCAAGCGAAGTGACAATCGGTAGCGGGAACCTCAAATCCTTCACTTCTATTTTCCCTTCATTTGAAGAGCAAACGAAATTTTGTCTCGGATTAACCCATACTAACCCGGTACTTCAAAATGAAAGGAGAACCTATTTTAGAATTTTTTAACGTTCCATCATCCAGATATTCGATCTGTTGGTTTTCTGTTGGCAAGCAATATACGTGTCGAAAAACAATAATAGCTAATTCCTTCCTCGTCCTCGTAGGTGAGGTTGATTTACTAGCCGCTTAGCCGTTTTACTCACATGAGGGACCCGGTGGGCATCGGCGCGTCCGGCGGCTCGGCCTCGTAGAAGACCTTCTTGAGAGCCTCCAGCACCGTGACGCCGTCGGTGAACACCCGGTACGTCAATAGAAACGTGTTGAGAAAGTCGATGCTGAGGAACCGCAGATCGGTCAGCCGCTGCAGCAAACGCTCCGGCGTGGCGGAACGTATCTGCGGCACCTTGCAGGAGTTCAAGGTACGACTGAAGCGTATGTCCACGTCGTCCTTGAAGAGCTTCGGGTCGTTTCTAATAGACTGCGGCATCGTGACGGAACTGGTGTCCGATCCGTGGAGCAGGTCGTTGAAGTGAACGTTGTCCATGCACTGGCTGATGTCGCTGATCCAAGCGGCCTTTTCCTGCGGAAAATTTCGCCGGGTATCTCTCTCAGTGACACGCCAGTTTAGCGAGGCCTCCCGAGGTCCTGTCGACTCACCTGCATAGTAGGCGCTACGAGATGCACAGTCACCTTAACTCCGCCGGACTTTACGTCGAGAATGATCTTGAAGTCGCGATTCTGCAGCTGGGAGGTCGCGCTACTGCTGCCGCTTCCGCTACTCTCGCTGATGCCGCTTGACATCGAACATACTGACAGTTCTAAAATCAGTTCACAGTCGCTACTCCGCGGCACTCGAGTCAATCGTTCGGTCAAGTGTTCGCGATTGTGTTACTACTGTGTCGTTCTCGCTGCGACACAGCTGTGACTGATTAAGACGGCTCTCACCTGTCCTCTCGCGCGGGCGGATTCTCTTTAGCTGCGTACAAAGTAACGCGCGACAAACGAAGAGAAGCCTCGTGTAAAATGTGAAATAATCCAGAAGAATCGCCGTATTTTGCGAATCGGAATTCCGCGCTCATTGACGCTTAGAATGCGGTGACGGCCGCCAGCCGCCGTCAGCCGACATCATCCGCGATACCGCCGCGTCTCATCGGGTTACGTGTGTAAAACTCAATTAATTACATTCGAGAGAATTCGCCTTACACGACCACTGGGCTGAAACCAACGAGACGCGGTAGAAAAAACGTGCACGCCTCGAATTACATTAATTTACCGTACCTCTGGCAATTCAAACGATTCCGTTGCGCAAGGGGGTTACTCCCTTGCGCAACGGAAAGCAACGCAGGCGGCAAAGCGAACGCGTTAAATCGAATGTCCATGCGCCGTCAAAAATCGAGGAGAGAAGGTGATCGTTATCAAATCGTTATCAAGCGAATGAATACCGTCATCGTCCGTGGCAGTCTGATCGCTCGGATCCTCGATCAGCGCCGCCTCGGACAAGGGGATCTTGCCGATCTGCGGGACGAGATTCAGCCGACCGTCGTCGTCGGACTGGCGGGTCGTGAGCAGCAGGTGATTCGAGAACAGGAAACACTGCCTGACCGCCTCTTTGTCGCTGGCCGCTTTGCCGCCGAAGGTAGCGCTCAGCCTGCTCCGCGCACCGCGCGGCTTGTCCACGAGTTGCACGAGCGTACCTGAAATTCACGAAGAACACGGCATTAGACGCGAGCGTGAGACCTCCGTTCGTGACGTGGCCCGGCGTGTTTCGTCTCGTCGTATTGATACCGTCGAAGGAATACCGCGTAAGAAGAAATAACGACGCACACCGGTAAAAATAATCCCCGCACGGGCGCTCGTCGCGGCCGAGCGTCGTCGCGTGTCAGCTTCGACGCCGGTCTGTGAGGCGCGCTTTCTCAAAATAATCGATACAATTAGGGGAGGCCGCCGTGTTTAAAAATAACACGGCGAAAGCGGCACACGCGTGACGACGGTGGACGGTGGTGGCGAGTGGGATTCGCGATGGATGTCGTGTCGGACGGTGTCAGGGATGATCGCGCGCGTTGCTGACATCGGCGTTCGTCCGTTCGGCGGCGTGACTTCGTCGGAGAGTCGACTTTCGACGCTACACACGCGGGGATGTGTGTACTCCAGAGGAAGAGAGAGAGAGAGAGAGAGAGAGAGAGAGAGAGAGAGAGGGAGAGAGTATGTGTAACCGAAGTGTAAACTTGCCGAGACCGTGCCAGTCTTGACCTCTCTCCGTTAATCGATCTCTCTCACCGAGAACGCTCCGCCGATTAGCTTCTCTGCCGAGTGACAAAAGACAGATCAGATCGAACGCGGCTCGAACGCGGATTCTGAATACGTTCGGAGTATCGTAAAAAACACATGTCGCGGGGATGATGAAACTAGACACTCTGAGGTTGCTCCTCGCGCAGTATGAGAGCAGAAATTCTGCTGGTAAATACAAGAATCGCAGATCGAGATATCGACCTGGGGATTATAGCCCTGCGAGAAAGGGGTAGTTTCATGCGGATCTAGTATCAGTTCGTGTATTCAGCTCGCACGAGAGCGAGACTTATCATTAGCGGCGTTTGTCTTTCTTTAAGAAGCTCGCCGATTATAAGATTCCCTGGCGATATCTCTGGATATCCCTGGAGCCATGCACGCGCATACCTTAGCTAAGCGATCGAACTTAATGGTCATCCGCCGGTTGCTCGCGTGCGGACGTAAGCTATGGCTGATCCTTAGATTCCCGATTATCCTTGGTCCCTGATACCAGCGTCGCACATACCGCTTGGTCCCACCTCGCTCACTATCGAGCCAGGTATTATCGAACTCGCGCACAACGTCGCGAAACTCCACTCGTTCGTGTCGTCGTCGTCGTCGTCGTCGTCGCTATCGTCGCCGCCGCCGCCGCCGTCGCCGCCGCCGCCGCCGTCGCCGCCGCCGCCGCCGCCGCCGCTGCCGCCGCTGCCACCACCACCACCACCACCACCACCACCACCACCACGACCGTCGTCGTCGTTGTCGTCATCGTCGTCGTTGTCACATCGAGACACGCCGTCGAATCGACGGGCCAACAAAATGGCAACGCGGATTGGTCGTCGCTTCTTTTCGTCCGTTCGTCGACCCCCAGCCCCGCGACACCGCCAGACATCCCCCGCGTAGGCGACCCTTGAAGGAAACTCCGACTCGACGTCGTCGTGCGCTCAGCCTCGTCGCGAAAACGTTCGTGCCCCTCGACCGACTTTTTCATAGCGGATGAAAAGGCCAAGCGGCCAGACGAGAGGGTAATTCGCGGTCGCGGGAGGGGCTGTTGTGCCGCTGCCGTGCGAGGGATGTTAACGCGGTAACCATGTGATGTGGCGTCAAGCACGAGGGGTGCCAAGGCCGTACCGAGGGGTTAGTCGGGCCGGCACACGCGGGAATTTCCTGCTTGAAGTGGCCGTCAGCAGAGTTTCCACAGCCACTCCTCGTGCGGAATTGCACGCTAATTTCAAGCTCGATCGATGATACGTTTTAGCCATAAGTTGCGCTGCCGCTAATTAAAGCCATTGTTTCCGATATGTATTATTTATCATTTCTTGCTGTTATATATATTTTGAAATTCCTTTTTAGCGCCGCGCGTTATTTTTGCCGTTAAATTTGTTCAACGTTGCTCCAACATTCAAAATTCTAATTGTATCGAATTTCGAACGTCTTGCCATTTCGGAGCACAATTTATTATCGAGGAAGCCGAACTCGAAATAGCTGAGATTAGAGTCCTTGCGAGAATCGTAATTTCCCTCGCGTGTCGTCACGCCGTTGCATGATTCTTTCTTGAATCACGGTCGATCGACGTAAGGATTTCTCGTCTGACCAAGGTCCTCCAATTGCGCGACAATAGGTCAGCCCTGGCAGGACGCATTGCGCAGGATCCAGACGAGAGCGAGGATTTAGCGCGAAGAGACTATAGTCGACGTCACATCATCGATTCTCCGGAAACCTAAACGTGCGCTTGCGCCTTTTCGCGCGCGTTTTCGGCTCTTCCCTTAGATATCCCCTGCAATGAGGAACGTTCGCTCGTCCAGCTTTTACCGACAGCGATCAAGCTCAGCTTCGAGCTTCTCAGCCAAGGATAAGCAGCTCGCGAAGGACGAACGACTGCCGCTCGTTTCCTTTTTACCGACTCTGATAGAGCATTCGAACGCTTTCGATCTTACTTTGCGTTGCTTTTTCTGTAACGCTTTTTTTAAGCGCGATTGATCCTTCATGAACGGACCGAAGCTGTTGTGCAACAGCCACTTTTGCGTTGTTACTTAACGTATTATCTCGCTTTTCTTTATTATCGAATTAGATAGGAATCAGTCCGACGCGAAACAATTTCGATCATTTAGATTCGCGCGGTTCGAGCGTCGAGAAACTTAGAGAAACACCTCGTGTTGAAGCAAAAATTGCGCAAAAAATTGCGAGGAGGAATACGATTTTTCACGAACTCACCTTGTCTCACGAAAACCTGATTGACATCCAACAAAATGTCGCATCCCTCGACGATCATTCGCTCCACCGCTAAGTTCTTCCTCAGATTCTCGGTCTCACTGACCTGCGGGATAAGACGAAACGCGCAGGGAACAGCGATTAAAACTCGGACGCTCAAAGGCGACGCTCGTGCAGAATTAATTTGCAAGTACCTCGTCGTGCATTTGTCTCGACAGGTCCTCCAACTGTTGCTTGGCATTCTGGAGGCTCTTGCGTTCCACGTGGTCGTACGGCGTGTGCGCCAGTAAGTCGTGCAGAGTAATTATGTACCTCGGAATCTACGGAAGTGAAACGCCACTTTTTTACATATAATCCCGCTACGTTCGCGAGTTTTATCCGAGACGAGTCTAGCGGGTGCGCGTGTAATTAAACTTCTCAAAGCCGCCGCGGCGCGAACTTCGCGAAAGCAATTAATGATCGGACACGGAAGTAACAGTAGGCTCTTCGCTGTATTTACAGAGGTTGTTAATTGTATTCGACCGGCGAATTGAGCAAAGTATCTTGCCAAGGCACGAGACGATTTATATTTTTCCGCACCACCGCCGAGAGTCCACTTATCGTTCGACAAGATCCTTACACTTCGTGCATTATTCATGAAAGTTTCCGAACTACCTTGGTCCGATAGACTGTCTACGCCTCCCCTGCTCCGCCCTCCTGAAGAAACTCCATCGTATCAGCGAGATTATCGCTGCGTTTTTTCCCGTTCTCGCCGCGAGAAAACGAGTGGTCGCGTGGAAGCGAACAACGCGAGCGAGCGATCGATGCGAGCGAGTCGATCTCGCCCCGCGAATTTCATGGCGATAATTTCAAAGCGAAATCCTTCCTTGAAATCGTCCAGAGATACGCTCGCGACACGTGTCTTGCGTGAGGTCATTCGCGAAATAGGTCGGGACGACAAAAATGCAGTCGGGCGTTTTAATAATGACAGTTTCACGCCAACATTCACACACACGCTTCTCTTGACCGAGGTTATTACCTGATGCATGGGATATGTTAAAAAGGTCTCCAGGGATCGTCCTTGGCAGGCAGTCTTTTGCTCCGACCTCTTGAGCAATGCCGCGAACGAGGCTGATTGCTTGCATTCGGTTAACACTTGAAGGCTGTAGTGGTGGTTTCGCACGTACTCTTGATATATCGATAACATCGGTAGCAGCATGTCAAACAAGTCACCTGCGTGCATTACAGACGTCACGACCGGTCAATTGCGCAACATGAACTTTCCTTTCTCTTTTTGCAAAATACAGACGCTAATGTGTGTATTAATATTAATGCGCGTTAATGCCAATATAACGTGTCGACATAATGTCAATATATTATATGTATATTAACATTAATGTGCTCATCAGCAGTATGTATCAATTAGTGCGCTAATGTATATTTTTATGCAAAACGAAGAGAGAGGAAGCTGCGAAATAAGATATCAGGTTGAATATCGGAAACTTTGCAATTTCCCGGAACATCGCAACAAAATTAAATTTCAGCTTTCGATCCGTGGAGGATCAGAGAGACAATTGTTCACATGTGTTCGCGTCATTCGCGTATCATATCAATCGGTATCGCGTTTCATCAGTGATTCGTACCTAAAACTAAAGTGGGCCAGCTCTCCATACGAGAAGTGAGACCCTTCAGGAAGATCTGATGAAGGAACAGCACGGTCTCGCTATTCAAAAATATGCTATTCACATCCTCGTGACTACATGGGGGTTTCTTTGAACTGGCAGCCATCTTGAAAGGCCTCAGAAAACAGATTACTAAAACCTCCATCTGCTCCGTGTACTCCACCTCGGCCTCCACCATTTTAAATACCAGACTGAAACGGGATGACATACACACATGTATATATACACACGCGCGCACACACATATAGACATTCAGTGTCCTGTGGCACGAATTAAATGAAACCAATAACCGTTGCCTTTTACGTCACTATTATATCAGGAATGAAAAGAAATATCGGAGCGAGAGGGCCGCGCCTGATTAAAAAATCTCCCAATGGCGACGAAAAACCACGGGCGGAAACGTGATCGGCGAAATAAAGGAATTGATTCCGCGGAAGCAAGAATATTCCTCGAGATCGATACTCTTTCGATTCCTTAACACGCGCAAAACGAAACTTCATTGTTATTCCACGCGTCGGCCAAGGAGCGCATGAATTTTATTCGATGCTGAATTTTACCCGGCGAAAGCGGAATCCTCACGTCGCTCGCGATGCCTGCGTCTCTCTTCGATGTCGGTTTTCGCGTTTGATTGGCACTCGTCAATACACTAATTGTCAAATACGAGTTATCTCGTAGCCGGTATGCGAAAGGAATTCTCTGCGTCATATGTCAGCTGCGAGTTAACTCACATCGATTTTTGCTCGCTTCTTTGTGAGTGCTGCTGAAGGATAAGCTGAAGGATACAATTAATTGGAATGTTGAAATAACACGCTGCTTTAAAAACAGTGTCGAGAGCAAGGTTTTCCGATGTCACCGACGTGTCAATTTCGTCGAAGTTAATTCGATCGCAGAACCGGATATCCGGGACCGCAGGTCCGGGAGATTCGCGGTGAGGCCTTCCAATGGGTGCGTGAAGTCCGCGAACAAGTTGACGAACGTAATCGTGCTCAATTCGAGGAAAAACAGACAGAAGCATAGAGAGAGAGAAAGAGAGAGAGAGAGAACAATTACCTGTTCCGCTTGCGCATGCTTTCTGCGTGCGGGCTTTTGATGTACTGTTCAACGATTTGCTTCCAACGCCTACGGCATAGCCAGCCCCTGAAGAAACTCTGGACCTTCTTGATTTTCTGCATTTCAATGGAACCCTCCATAATGCCGCGTAATGCGGGCGCCCCTCCGAATCCGGTTCCGGCGATGCCGTGAGCCATACCGCCGAGTGCTTGAGATCCGCTGTATAAGCTACCGGTACCTTGAGACATAGTCCTTTGAACCACCGGTCTACCATACGTCGGCGTCACCGAGGGTCTCAGTTCTTTTTTAAGTGTACACAGCTGTAACGATAACCGAAGTCCGAGAACGTGATCTCATAAGAAGGGAAATGATTGGAGCAAAAATCGATCCGCACATCTTCCCGCTCGCTGTAAGCCGAGCCGAGGGGAGAATGTTCAAGCGATAGTCGGAGGAAGGGGAAGATCGTCAGAGGAGAGAGTGTAAATAAATATTTTTCGTCGCACAGGCCGTAGCGAAAGCCCCGATTTATTTTTCATCTGTTCTCGATTCGATTAAACCGATTCGGTCAAACCTTCACGCGGAGGACTAAATTAACGCGAGGGAGCGACTTGAGGAATAGGGTGGTGCGATACAGCAGGAGGGTGGGGCCTTGTTGGTGAGGGCGAGCGAGCAGCAAGAAAACACGAGCGGTTCCGATGGAATTTCAGATCGTGGCGTATTTATCGTCGGCGTGTGTTTCACTCCGGAGACAAATAAAAGCCGACTCGTCGTCGAGGAAATGCAATTTAATTCATCCCTCTGGTATCCAGTCGCGCGAAGGAACTATGCGCTGCTCGACGAGGCGAGGCGAGGCGAGTCGAGGCGTGCCGTATAAAAACCGTCTTCCTCGATTCTACCTCGCGGACTGGATATTCCGTGAAAATTCGTCTCCGTCGTTTTATTAATCGCCGGTCTTTGAGGGATTAACGCTCAGTTATTGGAAAACAATGAAAAAGGAAGAAAACGACACGGCAACGTCGACACGTTCGAGTGTCCTCGAGCGTCGAATTCTTCGACGCTTTTTCAAGAATTGGACCACTCGCGGTCGAGCGCGGACGGGAGCGCGAAACCACCCCATCGTCGGTTTGAATTATCGCGGAAGAAATGCGACGGGCTGGCGATACGGTCGGATATGACCACTGACCTCGGCTCGCAGCTTTTTTATCTCCGACGCCAATTCCTCGCATTGCTGGGTGTACTGCCACTTGGCCGTCTTCTCGCTCTCGACGATTTGCAACAGGTGCAGGTGCTTTTGCTCGAGCTCCTCCTTTTGCAGCAGCAATTTGTTAAAACTGGAATCAATAGCCAAGGAAAACGGGAAAGTTGAGTTGGAACTTGAACATGTACGTGTGTATGTGTGTGCGCGCGCGTGTGGTCGTATTCGCGCGACGCGGCGACACTTGAGAGCGTAATTTAAGCGGGACAGCGTCGCAGGAGAAAATAAAACGGCAGATCGTACGTATCGAAAACGAAAGAAAGAAGCGAGAAATACACGCGAAATGAACATTCCTCGAATTTCGTGCTAAAATGATGTTACGTTTTTTTTGTTAGCAGTCACGGGGAGACTGAGAAACAGAATTTCGTAAAAATTCGGAATATTTTTCAACGGACTGAAACACACACGCAAAAAATACACATGTATATTCCCGTCCTCTCTTTCTTCCTCTCTCTCTCTCTCTCTCTCTCTCTCTCTCTTTATTTTTTGTTGTTTTTTTTTTTTTGAAAGATGCAACTCCTGAAAATTTCGACACATGGCGCAAACGACTCCAAATTGACGAACGACCGCGCGGCTGAAAAGTGTATCGCAATTACGCGTCTCGGGTCCCTGGGACACAATGGCGATGTGACGCTCGTGACGAATAAAACGTCGGGATTTCGCGACTAAACGCGGATGGATCAGCGACTTCTTTCCCCCGGAATATCTCGCTGCTTCGGTGCGTGTAACTCACGATACTTGGCGTCTACAATCTGTCGGCATAATCTTGGCGAGGAAAAAGGAGAGTGCGCGGTAATCCCTCCGAGTCGGTTCCACAAGCAAAGTGATACGACGAGTGATGAAACCAGTCAACGAGGGGCCAAGTTATTTCAGCGCGCCCAGAGAGGGAGAGGGAAAGCACCACTTTTTATGCGCTTTGGGATCTGTGTGTCCCCTCAAGCGCCTAAAAATTAATTGATACAAAATACAAAATTTTAAAATACAAAACATGAAAGACAGAGAGAGAGAGAGAGAGAGAGAGAGAGAGAGAGAGAGAGAGAGAGAGAGAGAGAGAGAGAGAGGGAGAGAGAGAGAGTCTTTAGGAAGGAATCACATATCGCGGAAGATATACGCATACACGCGTTTTTATACGCGGAGTTTGTACTCGCTTTGATTTTCGATACTACGCAGAATAATTCGCAATTTCCGCAAGGTACGTTTCACCGTCGCATTTTCCCGAACGTTTATTGCGTCTAGCCTCCCTCTCCCCCTGCTTCTCTCGTGGAGCGTTAAACATCCGCCTGAATTTCCATTTTCCGAAATTTTCACTATTCGCATGATAAACGAAGTGAACATAGCGATTGTGTTTGCCTCACCGAAAACAAATTTTTTTCCCGATCTCGCGCGGATTTTAATAGGTCATCGCCATTCGGAATTTTAAAATTTTACAATAGATCCGCCACGTCCTGTATCCAATCGCATTCACGGTTCTCTATAAATTGCCGCAAAAGCACACAGCGCGAATCGCCGCGTCCGGTCCAACGTTGACCATTTACGAGGACGAGTTCCTGTTTGAGTTCGTGCAAAAACAAACGGCCGGACTTGGACCGCGTCGCGCGTCGAGGAGTTATCGCGTTATCGATCGGACCGCCTCGTGACATGAGATACTCGAAGAAGTATATATCAACCCTCTGTTTTCGAGCACGCGACGCGCCGGAATTGCGCCGAACGTATAACACGGATATCATTATCTATGCATATTACGGTGCACGTTAGCGGTAATCTGAGGAGTCGGCCACTTCGCCGTTGAATGTGCATAAGTCTGGCCTGTAAAACGAGCAGCAGCGCAGGATGTAGTTTGCCGTGCGCTGTGCGCGGTATAACGAAGGATGGGATATCTTTCCCCGCGGGAATAGCCGCGTACGCCACTGCGTTTTACGCGACATCAATGATCGAGAAGGCGGATTAAATGAGTTGGGATCTCACGAATTTCGCTGCGCGCACAAATTACACGACGTGTTTTCGTAATTCGGCCCGTTCCTTTTCGAAGGACCAGTGTGCGCTCTTGGAAGTTGAAAAGAGATAGATATGCAGTTGCGACTGTGGTGGAGGAAGGAGGAAAAGAGAAACTAACGCGAGGTAATGAAGGAGTTGCTGCGAAAAGGAACAGACTAATTGCCTCCGCGTGAAATTTGAGAGGCGCCTAATTGTAGCCGGAGCAAAAACGAATCGTCGAGTTGGACAAATAAACGGTTCGGCGGCAAAAGTACACGATGACGTGTGGACGTGATGTCGATGGTTCGGCGGAATACAAACGTCCTCTATTAATTCGCGAGGTGTCAGCCGCGGAAATACAGATCTCCGGCCACCATTTTTCCCCATTGCCGCGTAATAGCATTACGTGTGTTGCATGGCGTCCGGTATTGAAGCGACGAGTTTGGACGCATCTGCGAGCTTCAGTTTGGAACGATCGCAAGGAACCGCGTTGTGAAATACCTGCGACGGGAAAAATTACGGACGCGACGACGATCTTATTCTCCCGGCTTTTCCGCAACCTTTCCGCGACCTCGCGATCGGAGAAGCAACGCCGGCGACGAGAATATCACGCGAAAGTTAGTCACTTCACCGAAAGAAGCGAGCAACTTAAATTTGTCCGTCGAAGCTCGTCCGCACTGTTGCGATTTTCGTCACTCGCAGTCGACGAGCTAATCTCCGAGACTCGCCCTGCGAATCCGTATTTCTTAACGAGCGTAAACTCGACGTTGCGCAGAATATTGCGCGACGTAAACCTTTTCATTTTTAACCTTTTCACCTTTGAATATCCTGGTTAGTTTAGCGGCAATTAATTCCAACCAGTCAATTTGTGGATTTACCTATTTATTCATAAAAATTGTAATTCGCCGCTGTTCACATAACAGCGCATTGATAAACTTAATATAAAAGCAACAGCAGATTCGGAACGTTTCCAGGAGTACATATCAGACACGGAACAGCTTCGCTCCTTTTTCCTGGAAAACCGGATCAGTCACGGGCCAGAAATAAATCCCTCGATCATCGAAGAAATCGGCTCGCGATTATTAAGAACGTATTTTCGCACAGACAAATATCGGTCTTTCCTCGATAAATCTACGGCGAATCTACGGCTCGTCCCTGTTAAGAAGCGTTTGATAGCGTGACGAGGATTACTCAGAACACGATAATATCCGCAAATTACAGCGGCCGGGATTAATAGAGGCCGCCGGGCTGAGACGACTCGATGTTAATGCGCTGCCAGTAAACGTATTTATCAGCGCATCAACGAGATTAAGGGAGTCTCCGGCGAATAATAGGCAAAGTATAGAGCGGCGGTCTAAAGCGCCCGACGACATCGGTGAACAATGTTAACCGTTGCTGCGCCGCGAGTGCAAACCGCGTTATCTGTTTGCGGACTTATTTCGCGCTATCTCGCGCCCGCCCGCTCGCCCGTTTCCCGCAAGATAAACGCGTGCAAATTCCCGGCCGCATGCTCCGAGATTACTCACGGCCGTTGTTACCGGGGAAGGAAAGAGGGAAGAAAAGGGAACCCGAGAGATCGCTAAATCCGGGGCGGCTGATAACGGAGCAGCGGACGAGGTGTGTACGTTTACGCAGGCTGTAACTTCTGGTTAATGAAACTCGCGAAAAATCCTCCGCCACTGCCGTCGCGGCGTCGTCGCGGGGAATATTACACGAAACGCCGCCCGTAATTCGGTCGGCCTGCCGGCCGACCAGTGAAATATCGTAGCGAGAGTTATATTGTGAAAGCTTTTATCGCATGTATGAGATTGTATTTTAATTCGTACTAGGTCGAGTATCGACGTCGAATATCGAATATCTCTGACGCGCGCGCACATAACAGGTTTAAATCCGAAAGAGTTTTAACGAGATTGCAGTATAAATCGACAATGTCATATTTAATTTTTCTATCAAAGACCGAGAGAGATAAAAATAGACGGAAACAGAGAGAAAGAAAGAGAGAGAGAGAGAGAGGGGAGAGAGAGAGAGAGAGAGAGAGAGAGAGAGAGAGAGAGAGAGAGAGAGTCGAAAAGCTAAAGTATGCGACATCAATCTCATAATTGACTCAACGTGAGACCGACAACGCAGAGAAACGTTTGCTTTCGTTTCCTTCTTTTCTTTATTTTCTCCTTGCCTTTATCCCTTTCTCCGCGATTTTCGGACGAAGTTAATCGCCGGCACGCGATCTAATTGGAACTTCGAATTTAAACGCGACTCGCCGTAGAGCATCCTCGCCGTAGGTCATCGGGGATGATCGTGGTGATTTACGAGATCGAGCAGCTCGCGCAATCTCCATAAATCAGAGCGACGTGTGCGTTGTTTTAATCGGCCGGATCTTCGATTCGGCGCGAGCGGTTACCTGGCTTCTTGTATCGCGTCGATCCATGTTTTGCAATCCGTCTCGGTGGCCGCTTTCAGCTCGTATTGCCGTTGATTCTCCCTCCTGTACGATATCGCGAAACAGTGCTGCAACAAAAAGACAGAAAAGGGAATAGAGAATAAAAATATAATAAAGAATCGAGTTTGCGCCTAATGCGAAGAGCGACTGAACGCCGTGGGCGACCAGACGACGGAAAGAACGCGACTTTTCTTCCCCCGTTCTCTCTTCTTTGTGACTTGCATACAGCGAGGAAAAATATTCGATTTATGCAATGAAGACCGTCCCGCGTGCAAAAATATACGAACCAACGACACTACAAAGCGTAAAAAGAAGTAAGAAGCGCTCCGTGCATTCTTCTCTCTCTCTCTCTCTCTCTCTCTCTCTCTGCTTTTATCTCTCTCTCTCTCTCTCTCTCTCTCTCTCTCTCTCTCTCTCGGTCTTATTTGCGTACGTTGCTATTTATAAGCCGTGCGCAAATCCGGAAGCACCTACTCTCGGATATCATACGGTCATCTCTTATATGCTGCGAATAAAGCGCAAATAAAAAGCACGGAAGTGCCCTCGTTTTCGCTTTCGCGCGGAAATGGTGTCTCTGCGTTTAGCAACCACGGTAAACTTTATTCGTCCACGCGAACACTCTCACTATGCTCGACATCCACCGTATGCGAATAACTATGTGGATAACTATGCGATCGTGGTGCGAATCGAAAACACGCGCGACGCGAATTCCGTTCGTGTCTCGTTTTCGCGCGCCAACTTGCGGAACCATATCCAACGAAGATAGCGAGCCGAGCTCTCTTCCTCCGTGACTTTTCCTCCGCGGATTTCTCGGGTTAAGTAGAGAAATTACAGAATTATAAATATCTCCTGCGCCGGGGACGACGTATATAGACGACGGGTAGAGGTAATGGCCATGGCCGCTCACACTTAGAGAGTGGGAAAAAAGTGCATGAAGCTCGTAGCGGTGACGCAGTTTGCAAACAACTTTCCCCATCCGGCCGCTCGTTTATGTCCGACAACATTCCAGAAGGCAAACACGCGGAAATGGGGAATGCACCTCGCCGTGGAGGCACTCTACTTTGCGTTTTCAAAGGAAATTCTCGACCTGTTTTTATTTGCGATTCTCATTCACGAGACGTGTTTGGCAGTGCGCCTCTGCGCAACCGTCCTCTATCTCGTGTCGTCACTTGCGCCGCGGGCGTCTGCATTTTGCAGAAACGCGGGACGACACATTTCTCGTCGTCGTTGTCGTCGTCGTCGTCGTCGTCGTCGTCGTCGTCGTCATCGTCGTCGTCGTCGTCATCTTCTTAATGCATAACGGAACGGACAGTTGCACACGCCGATCTCCCCATATGGACGCTCGTTCACTCGCGACATACTCCCTTGCTAAGCGCGCAGGAGGAACCTGCCATTTTTCTCTCGTTTCAACTTTCAGAATATTTATTCTTTTCCCCTGTTTTTTTCCCTTTCGAGCACACAGACGGGAAAAAATTGCACCGTACACTCGGCGTATTATCACGAGCGGGATAACTGGGAATAAGCTGGGAAGTTGCGGCCACCGCGAAAACGCGGCTGCCGCGTCTTTTTTTATCTTTTTCTCTTTTGTTTCACGTGCGTGTTTGTAACGTAGGAGTTTACCGAGCGGAGAAGAATGTGCAGTTTCCTCGGTCTCCTCAAAGCGAGAGCGCATTTAGTTATGCCGCATGTAAGCCACGCTTCCTTATAGTCCACTTGAGAAAAAAAAAAAAGGAAGAAGGAGAAACAGAGGGAGGGAGAAAGGGAGAGAAAAGGGGAAGAGAAAGAGCAATCATATTCGTAATCATTTCCTTTATACAGACAACGAAACGGCACGAAACAATCCGCGGCGACGGTGGTTCTGCGGCGATCGAGGTAAACTCGATTACCATGCTTAGTTATCGCACGTAATGAAAGAACAAACAGGCTTGACTTCCGCGCCGAAAGGATTAAAGCAGCCTGATTATCCCTCTTTCACGGCAGCCCTCTCGCGCAGCTTCGCGCGCGCTCGTGCATTAGCTAATTCTCGTCGCGGTTGGCATCGATTCGTCGAGCCGCGGATTCCAACGCGAATTACACGCACATTCGCGTTAATTAATTAAAATCTGAGGTGACAATGTAAAACGGGCGCGTAATTATACTCGCGGACAGCATTAAAACGCAATAACACACAACGAGCTTTCTCTCCCTCTTCCTCGTTCTGTTCCTCTCCTCGACCCGGCCGGGAGGTCGGATTACGCGCGAGCGCGGCTCGAATATTCGCGGTTCCCGCGTACGTACACACACTTCGTATGACCACGCACGCGCGATCGGAAATTATTAATATCAACACCACCCTGAAAGCGCGCTGTCGCATAAGCTCGTTAATTAAAAACCAAAAATAGATTCCAGGGAAAAAGAGAGAGAGAGGGAGAGAGAGAGAGAGAGAGAGAGGGAGAGAGAGAGAGAGGGAGAGAGAGAGAGTATGGCCGCATTATCAACACGTGCACGCGTTTCACCAACGCACGGCTTACGCCAAGATTCGCTCGCAAGAGCGAAGCTATTCGAATTTAAAAGTGCACCCCGATTTCGTTCCCTTGCTCCACATTACTTTACCCCCCTCCTCCTCTTTCTCTCTCTCTCTCTCTCTCTCTCTCTCTCTCTCTCTCTCTCTCTCTCTCTCTGCGGAGTCTGCAATAAGTATGCGTGTGTCTGAGTACTCGAGAGGAGTGACTAATTGAAGTACATTGATATTACTTAAGCTTCGTTAACCGACGTCGGGCGCCGGCGAGAAGGACGTTCCGTCGACTCTGATTGTAACGTCCTATTGTGTTGGAGGCGAACGACAAAGATACTATCGGGGTCCGATATGTTGCATCAGTCGCGACGCGATACGATACGGGCTACTTGTCAGCCGGGCCACAAATGCGAGATGAAATCAGGCGTGACAATGACTATCCGAACGAATGTTCACGAGCCAGTCATCGGGGTTGGAGGGGCCGTAAGTCCTGCGCAAACTGATTAAGTAGATTCTGCGATATTACTTAGAGACACTGGAGTCCCCGAGTGCGCAGCACCGATCGGTCGGTCGGTCGGTCGCGGCAAGCACGGCACGGTGGCGTACCGTTTCAATTATGGAAACTCCATTAGTTGGCGCAATCGATTTTCCATGTTCCGAGGATATCGCGCACACGCTCGCCTGCTCGGATTATCTATCGCACGAAACAGAGAATACCTTATCAATCGGCCACGGAAGGCGAGTAGATCGTCGAGAGGGCTCGTTTATCTCCCCATTACGTCCGATCTAATGTCCGCTCGCGATAAAACGTAGGGAACGGGTTCGACAGAGAATCTGTTCTATTATTCTGCACCGTAAGAGTTCTACTCTGTTCCACCTCGCGAGCGCGCTACGAAACGTACACGTACTTGAAACTCGGGTAGACTCATCAATTATGCAGCCGGATCTCGGCCTGCCGCGCTGTTATTACGCGCGAAGGATGAGGAAGTTTCGAAGGATTTCATTTGTGTATGCACGTCGATTGTTATTGTTCTCCGTACTCGCGATCACTCGGAGAGTCTCAACGCAGTGATACCCCCGCGGGCACTGCATGTCCACGTGAAGAAATTTTCGAAGAATCCTTCCCCCGAGGAATAGCCGCCCGCGCCGGTGCCGTCGAAGGCGATCGCGATGTTGACGTATTGCACTCGCGCGAATCTGACGCGCTTTACTCGTACGACGAGTAGAGCTTTACTCGTTCTGCAAGTTCGAATTCAGCCCTCAGCATCGGAAAGTTGAGAAAGTGAACGCCCCAAGTTCCTTGAATTCGTTCGTCACCTCGCGACGAGCGTTTGCGCGCGCGCGCGCGCGTTATTTCGCATTTCCGCCAGCGCGGTATTGTTTTCGCATTTTTGTACTTATGGATGCACCATTCTCGCGCTCTTCTTTCCTCCATCTTCTTTCTCCCCTCTCCTCTCTCTCTCTCTCTCTCTCTCTCTCTCTCTCTCTCTCTCTCTCTCTCTCTCTCTTTCTCACCCGCTGTCTCGTTATCTCGCCCACACTGGAATCTTAACCTGAAGATTCACAACGACACAAAGCAAATTTCACGCAACGGAGATACCTCTCTCGTAAACCTCTTACATAATGCGCACACATGTCCTGCAGGATACGATGCCCAAGATGCAGGAAAAGGCTAAAGAGTATCGCGACCGCAACAGAGAGTTCGTCCCGGGAACAGAATCCCGCCGGGCACGCGCCGCGACTGCTGCGTTGCTTCATAATTAATCGGAAAATCAAAATACACGATGAGGCCGCTAATCGTCCGACCCCGCGAATCAAGAGACACCGATTCCAAATTGAACAACTCCCGTATGCGTGAATATTAACAACAAACAAGATACCGGCACGGATCAATATGTCCTCGAAAATGCAAACATACTCCGCTGCCACTGTATTTTACCCTCTGCCTAGGGTTGCCAAATCCAAGAGTTAAAATTACCGGACATTTCTTCTTCGGTGACAAACCCAAAACCGGACTAAACCGGAATAATAAACAGAAATAATAATCATAACGTCACATTAAATACAAAATATGACAAGAACTTATGTACAATATTTAATTTCCAAACAATTTTATAAACAAGATTAGATTGAATAAAGTAATAAACTATTACTTTTTTAATATATATGGAATGACGGATCGGCAGATCATCTACTAGATGGCTTTCCGTGGCGCTCGATCGTTCGTCGAGGCGCTTGAAACGGAGAAACGTTGCTAAAATCTGAACTCTCATTCCATTGATTGGATTTAACTTAGGAACCGGACATATGACGTCCGGTTTGACTTATCAACCGGACACTGGACAAGACTTCTGAAAGCCTGACAGTCCAGGTCAAAACAGTCCAGGCAGTTGGCAACCCTACCTCTGCCTGCGGTTCGTCCGGCTACTCGAAGGATTGCGACACGCTGTTGCGTACGCCAGCTTCGACGAAGCCAAGACACGCCGCCAGTCTTTCTCATAGCTCGAATCGTATCACGTCATATTGCAATCAGATGCAATGGGAACAATGAGATTTATGGAATTTCGACTCGGT